AAAAAAAAAAACTGATTTAAACAACAAGCAAACAAGCAAATATGGTCTAAACATCAAAAGAAAAATGGTGTGGGGTTTTTAAAAAAAACAACACCTAGGTTTTCTCCAGCTCTGGTCATCCCTCAGTCTCAAGGAGAGTCTGCTAAGAGGCAATGGAAACCATGCCCAATAAGAAGTGACTAAGGACCTCTACAGACCGGCTCTACAGGCTGATCGCCCCAACTCCATGCTGAGGACGTCCTTCCGACACAGCATTTTGACATGCTGCGCTGGAAGGGGTGCTAAAGAGCCGCGCGCTGGCTCTTAGGGCGGCCTTTTGCCACCCCTGAAAGAAGCAGCAAAAGGGAGGATCGGGGCCATGGCGTGCGGCAGCCTTGACCCCAATCCGCTGCTCCCCGGGGCAGCTCCCCACTACCCCTTTGGGCCAATGTACATTGGCCCTTAGAGATCTGGGTATGTTTAGCTTAGAGAAAATAAAGTTAAGAGGTGATATGATAGCCCTGTTAGATATTTGAAGGGATGTCCTATTTAGGATGGAGCAAGTTTGTTTTCTTCTGGTCCAGAGAATAGGACCCGGAGCAATTGATTCAAATTACAGGAAAAGAGACTCCACCTAAACATTAGGAGGAACTTCCTGACACTAAGATCTGTTTGACAGTGGAAGACACTCCCTGGGAGATTGGTGGAGTCTCCTTCTTTGGATGTTTTGAAATAGAAGCTGTATGGCCATCTGTCAGGGGTGCTTTGATTGTGAGTTCCTGCATGGCAAAAGGGGGGTGGGACTGAATGGACCTTGAGGCCTCTTCCAACTGTTGGATTCTATTATTTCCACTGGGATGGTGATGAGAAGAGGCCTTGCTTGTCCTTCTCAGTCCACAAAAGATCTCCCTAACTGCCTTTCTGAAACACTGGCAAGTTATTCCACCACCACCATCAGGGTTGCCAGATCTCAGGGCCTGGCCAAGTCTCCAGTTTTCACAGTTCATCTCCAAGCAGGAGACAAGGGTGTCGGGCTCAGCTCTGGACGAGAAGAGATCTGTGCAAATGTCCAGCTCACCAAGGTTTAAATGGTTTGTTGTTGCAACGTGCAAAGATTCCCCAGGGAGCATGCATTTCCTTCATTTCCTCCCTCCATCCCTCCCAGTCATTGTAGCACCAGGACTCACCCTTCGCTCTGTTCTGCATTCACCTCCTGGCTGGAAACAAGGCTAGATTAAAAATTACTTAAACCATCTCTCCAAGTTGATGAGAAGACCCTGACCCTCCAGTTTTTACAGAATCACAGAGCTGGAAGAGGAAAGGAAATCCAGCTCAACCCCTTGCCATGCAGGAAGACACAATCAAAACACTCTCATAGAATGACCACCTCTATATAACAATAGCAAGTATATGTCTATACCAAATCATAGGGCCTAAGCAGACGGCTTATTGGGCTGTCTTCGGCGCAGGGAAGGG